GCTGTAATTAGCTATGTTTTAATTGTTAAAATAAGGCAAATAAAGATGATGATGATACACAGTCATACAGAGCTATACACAGCCATACACAGCAATACACAACTATACAGGACTATACCTAGCTACACAAGGCGATACACAAGTATACACGACAATGCACAGCCACACAAGGCTATAGAAGGCTATACAGGGCTATAAACAGCTATACACGGTTGTGCACAGCTACACAGGGCTATACACAGCTAGACACAATTAGTATATACTAAAACAGTGGATAGCGTTGAAGGCGCGCTCTGATTGGCTAGTCAAACTCCGAATATCCTTTGCTATTTACCTCCGAGAAACTCGGGAAAAAATGGCGTCCCGGTTTGCATCCGTGACGAGCGAAGAAATCACTCAAATTAACGACGAAGCAGTGTATATTATCTCACTGTTTTAGTATATACTAAAACAACTATTCACCTCAGTGTCGGTGGTTAGCGGTGGATATTTACCTCGCCGCTTCGCGGCTCGGTAATTATCCACCACTAACCACCTCCACGTTGTGAATAGTTGTTAATTATTCTCTTATCCTCTTCACTTGCTTGCTTGATATTGTACTGATACTGTAAATAGAAATTAGCTCTTGGTAACTGATGGGAGTTAAAGGGTTTATACATGCTATTAGCTGTTTTTCCTTGTTATAGCGTAACCTGTTGAGCACACAACTGTTCTTCAAAGTTATATACAAATTACAGTAGCAGACTGAGAGGGTATTGTGGAGAAGTTAGTCTTTTTGACTTATGGAAACTTTCTAGGTGTGGATATTGTGTTTTCCACATGTATTTCTGAACTCAGAGACCCTATAAACCTTAATTGTGCACACTCTAAAAAAATAATGTGTAATTGTATTTTCCCACACATATAAGCTGTCAATACAAAATTTTAAAGTCTATTTGTACAGCGTGACATCACGTGTCCAATACACGTCAGCAAGTAGGCAAGATATGCTATGAAAAGTGCATGTTTGTTTTACATGTACCGCAATCCTGATGTAAGAGGGGTTCTCATGCAGTAGTATATCCTATTACATTCGCCACATTGCTTTTATAAAATGTTGTGACCTGAATACCATCTTTCCGCCGCAGTGCAATCGAGTCAAACAATGTTTCCTTGCAGGTCTTTATAGAGAAAAAAAATTAAAACAAAGTTCGGAATAAAAAAAGTTTTAATGGAATCATAGTGTCATAATTCGGCCTTTTAAGCTACTCATTATTCACACGAAAATCGCAACTCGTCACTGGAACGAGATTCCCCATGGTTAATTTGTAATCTGCTGGATTGCATCCTAAGGAAAAACAACAGCGACTTCATCACGATTATTTTCCCCAATTTTCTCCCGGATATCTTTTACAAGCTTAGACAAGGATAAATATAACGCATTTTCACGAAGAAAAGGAGATCGTTCGGTCCATTAACGTTCTGTGGAGATTATCAAGCTAATAACTGAGAAGATTGTGTTCATCAGTGACAGCAGTAATTATTCCAAATCTATACTCCTCGGTCCAAGTGACACCAAAAAACGAAGAGATGTAATATTCTAGGCACTTACTATAGCATGTTATTATCCAGGAAGATAAATCTCATGGTTAAAACCAAAATAATTTTAGAGCATGTAAAAGGACTCCCTAAAGAAAGCTTGATATTTGAAAACTTATTGTGATGTAATCCCTGTTCCATTTACTGTACTGCAGGGATACTGAGTTGTTTAAAATCTCCACTTTGTGATGGTTTCCGCGTGGTTCATACAAATTGCTATTGTTGCAACTGTGTATTTACATGTATTACTACCACTAAAACGTTGCGATTTATGCTTTTAGATTCTCAGTGTTTACGAGCCATCGATGGAAATTTCATGGAGAAACACAGCGTCACGTCACAGTGATTACGTTCATTTTCATGACAAATGACCGGTAATAGGATAATTTCGTGTAGATCAGCCGACTTAAACATGTTTTAGATGACATACAAGCATAACAGTTTCTCTTCAGAGGGTTTCGGTTTACTTAAAATTCTAAAGAAGAAGGTTTAGCAGTCAGAATCTGGATATGTACATGATTTCAAGTATGTGTTAGTAGTTACGTCGAGTAGTCCTCTATGCAGGCTGATCAATTTGTTTTTTAAAGATGACAGCCAAAGGGGAGATTTCTCCTCGGACATTTCTCATACGATAACATTCCTTCGAAGCCTTGCACGTTTCAATTGTCTGAAACTTTTGTTGTCGAAAACATTAGATATAAACATCGCCAAAATATGCAATATCTGATTTCTTAACTTCGTTCGCGTATTGCCCCTATGAAAAGTAAAAGCCAACCCACACAGATTTTTATATATTTAAAAGGTAGAGTATTATTACCAACTAGGTACGCAGTTTTAGTTCCAAAATCGGTGTACGTTTGGAAAAATTCAGATGAACGTTTTCCCTGTTATACCGCTAGAAAAAAAAATTACCGAAAGTGTACCGAGATAACGAATCTTTTGGTGCATTAAAATTCACTCTAGGGAAAATTGAGTGCATCAAATTAAAGACGAACGATGTCAATATGTCTGGTAGAAGTACCAATTCATAATGTTGTATTTAGCTTGAGTTTGAGAAACAAAGATTTTACACTTTTTCTGCGATGTTTTTGCACGAAAATGAGGCCCAAGGCTTCGAACAAACCTCCGTTGTTACCATGGCAGCAAGAGTGCTGCAACCTTCAAAAGGGGCATTTTTGTGTATCCCTATGAATACCAAACTGCGAGCTAAATTTGAAGGGGCGTTGAAAATGTTTATTTCCCAAGATGTTTAATTCTTACAGAGACTTGTACTTAAAAACCTCACACACAATAAAATAGAAACAGAGTACACAATTTTTATTCTTTTGTAAATTGAGATGGAAAGAGTGAGACTAATTCTTATCTCGAGAAATCGATATGCTGTCACTTCCAATTAATACACGTTTCCGCACGTATTTTTTCGGTCTCACTCTTCGTTAGAAAAATATCCAACGTGCACTCTATGATGCATTGGAAATATCTAATTAACAAATGAACGCCCAGTTGCTGTGCCCCCAGTGTTTAGTAAAAGATCACAGATAACGACAAATTAACACAGCGGTCAAACGTTTGCGCATGTGTGCGCCTTGCAATGGCAAGGTAGCGCGCTTTCAGCCTGTCAGAACCAAACTGTCCCTTTCGGATTATAATAAATCTCACAAACTAGTAAGTCACGGTGTTTTAAAAGGGTGCAACTATTTTCTCCCTACTTTTGTCTCTTTTACATATTCTTATAAACATTTCAATTTTATTTTGCATTTTGCACGAAAGCATTTTTTCCTTTAACGTTTTGCGCATAACGGACCAGAATTTACTTCCTCATTATGTATACCTGACGTTTGAGCGCTGTGTTAGCCGAGCTACTGCTATTAATGTTTCTTACAGGAATGGTCATTGTAGAAGATACGTAATTCCTTGAAATTCAGAAAGTCTTAAGCACTCTAAACAACAAACGTGTCTAGATACAAAGATAAGGTTGAGATCGGACGTCAGCATTTTCAGGCGCCTCTGGCAGCCGCTTCAGTCCATGTAACGATCTCACCTTCCCTCCAATCCCACCCCAGGGGAGGACATCCACCACACAGTAATCTCGTGCGTGGGAAATAAACGTCTCCTAATCCTAACCCTGCAGGATACGGGGCCTACGGTTTATTCTTCCTTATCCGAGAAGACTAGAATATCTATCCATTTCTTGATATCATAGAAAAGTAGCATTTTCTCCTCACGTATTTTAAGACCATGAGTATTGGTTTGGCCGGGGACCGAACCCTCGACCTCCCGCACAACACAATCCGGAGCTCTAACCAATTGAGCTAACCGGAAGGAGGCTTAGTGATTTAACTACCATTTATTTTACACGTATATCAGATTAAACATTACCGGAATACCCTTCTGTCCAACAAATAGCCACGTTATCAAACATTTCCCACCGATTAAATATCTCATTTATTCATCGTTTTTTGTTTTATATTAGACTGTATCGTCTTATTTGAAAATATAAACGTTAAAACAGGTCATACAAGTTGACACATTGGGAGCTGCGGTTTAAGTCAACTTCATTAGACCTAGGAATTTATGACATCTTTTATAGAAAAAAAAAATTATTAAGGATATTTTCAAAGTTTAAGGCTGTACTCAATATATCGCAGTTTTCTATGTGCATGAAACCAAATGCAAGTAAGAAGTGCATTAAACGTTTGAAATGTTTTCCTTCAGTTGACCCATAGGCGAAACCCCGATTCGAGACTTTCTTAAATTCTCACCTGGAAGTACAACTGATGTTATAGGTTTTAAATGTACCTTAAAGAGAATCATCCTACGGTCTGTTACAATCATCATGGTAAAATTTATTGAAATCATTTCTACCAAAACAGTCCGATATTTGTAAGTACAAAACAAATCATTACTGATTACTGTCTCCAAAACAATGATGTGTTATCATTATGACTATTTTCTTTAAGTTCTGATTTAATTTTTTTTTTCATATTTATCATTAAATAGTTTCTAAGATTGGAAACGAACAGAGTTCACTAATGTTTCCCTTCCTTTGCTTCCTCGTGATTCTGCTCTGATGCCTTTACGCTTAGGGTCGTAACTTGATCAACGTGTGCGTATACTGACTGGGACTGTTCTTTGGCAAGCTTAGCGTAGTTTTCTCGGGAGTGGACGAGATCTGCGTACTCAGGGCCTCGGTAGGGAGGGGGCATCTGGATCAAATATCAAGCAAATAAGGTCAATAATACCTTACAGGCAATTTGTGAAACCAGCGCTACTGAATAACGGTAGCAACGTAGTGATGAGTAAAAAACAAACAAACAAAGATCAGATGATATAATCAGGATATGATTGGATGACCTGGTCAGTAATGTCTTATTTAACTTTTGATCAAGATTTGATTTTATTTTGGTTCCATTTATTTCCTTTTGCGGCATTGCTTTGTTTTGTTTTGTTCCGTTTTTAACTCTTGCCCGTTTGTTGCTTAGTTAGTTTTTATTTACATATTTACTATTTTTCAAGGTCATCCTGAGGTATTTCCCAGCGTTCAGATTTGGTTTTAACTTGGTCTGTATTTTACCATGCACTGTATGAACCATTTCCACGTTGACTGTCGTAAGCCGTGCAATTTTGTTACGAAAGTCGGCAAAAATTAAATTGAACCAGTTTAGTTCGAAAGTCAAATAATGAACAATTTATTAACGTCACTTTCTCGAGTCGCATAGCGAAATAACGGCCCCCAGGTGTACAGTAATTCTTTTATTTTTTCTCAGCCCGTACGCCCAGTAAGGGTAATATTCCCAGTACGGCCCTCGCTCTCGGTTAGTAAAAAGCTTAACTTCGTATTTTTCAGAGGATACTCAAAAATGTGTCCATTTACCGTGCTCTAGCTAGCTGCACGCACGGTTATCATTTTTATATATTATGAATCGAGGAAGTAAACATATCAAGGTTGTTTTCTTAAGTCAAACAGTGCTGAAGTACGTAGGAACAGGTAATCATGAAGACGATTCTTGATCGTGTAGCTGAAATATATTACCTGTGGCGATTTTTTCTTCTTCTTTTTCGTCTTGTCAACAACTGTATACAGGTAATCTGTATTCTTGCCAGTCTTGGGTGTCTCCTCCATGGCGGCCTTGGTATTGACTTCGAGCTCTATACAGGACGCCCGGTTACCAGGTAATCCACCAGTTCCTTCCTGAAGGTGATTCTGAGGTTTTTTGAAGGCGCTTGCTTCAGAAACGGCTCTGCCTTTTCTTTGTTTGTGAACAACAGCGTCAACATAATCCTTGTTTCCTTCTTTTTCATCGCAGAAGCTGGTTGGCCGCTGTATTCCTTTTTTATCACTCACCACCAGTGTCTTTCTTCGTTCTAGCTCCTGAATATCTGAACAACTCTCACTTACTGACCTGGACGTTCGATGAGTCTCATCAATGTTATCATACTCGCACTCTTTTTGGCAGTCGCTCACCGTTTCGTAGGTGGGCATCTCAGATTCCATTCGTGAAAGGGTTAAGTGAACGGTGAGCTCAGTGGAGCTCTGTGTTTGTTGAACAAGCACAGGGTCGAGTGATATCTGTTCAGAGCTCAAAGACTTCTCGTAGGTGCACATGACACGATCTTGGCCTAAAGATCATCTATGACAAAAGAAATTATAAATTAATTTCTCTAGATACTATTTTTGGGGCTCAATGGTATAATAATTACTTACTCAGCCTTTGCTAAATCGATTCGTGCTGTCACTGCACTGCGCATACTGATTCGATCTGCTAAATCTTATCAGTTCCGACCATACGTTAATCTCAGAACCTAGCTTTTTGAGGAGGGTCATAATACGCAAAGATAACTACCGTGGGTATCTGCAACTTTAGAACGATTTTTCGTTGTGGAGGGGACAGGTGACTCCCGGCCAAAACGATATGCCGAAGTGCATTTCATTCCCCTCTCAATTTGATAAATTTGTTGCGTTGCTTATTTCTCCTTTTGGATTCAAATGCTGTAATAGCTTCCGGTATGGTGGTTTTCTTAATATAACAGAGACCCGGAAAGCGAACCTTCTCTTCTAATATGCCCATTACGTGTAATAAGAAAAAATTATAAAACTGAGGTTAAAAATAAATCAGTAATCAAGGATCAACTTATTTAATGTAATATCATTTTCACAGTAATTCCCAAATATCGAGTCAACGGTCAATTTTCACCATAGTCGTTGTTGTTAGTGTTGAGAGAAAAGAAAAAATAATAGGAAAGGTAAGTGTGCGAATTTCGAAGGATCGACAAAAAAGTAAAGAATACAATAATGCATGGTAAAGTGCTCCAATTATCCGAAGTACGTCTAAAGGGTTGTATTGGGGATGCTATGCACTGGTTGTTGTAATTATGCGCAGTTGACTGATAACACGTATCACTTAAGGTAAAGAGTAAAGGAAACGACAAATATGTAAAGACCGATGAAAAGGACAATGCTCCATGAGAAACAAAAATCTTAGTTGAGGAACAATTGAAAGCACAATGCAAGACACTTACATTGTTTATGACGGATCCGATGTCTTCGAAAGAAAATTAGTCCAAAAGTGATCACAAGGATCAGGAAAAAAATGGCCAGTAGCACAGCTACTACTATTAAAACCAAGTTAGGCTTGCTGTTATGTACATCGTCGGGTTATTTTGGCAGGCATTTTGCCAAGGGTCAGAAAAAAAAATGTTATTCACTATCCTAGGTCAGTCCGTACTAGGAAAAACTGCGCCCTCTGTCTTGAGTATCGCCCTCGTCCTGACGCTTCAAACGGCATCCAAGGCCTATGGCAAAGTCTTTCCCAATACGGACCTCCCGTCTAGTGTATAACATATATTTACGAGAAGTACTTCTTGGCTCACCGCTAAGATCCACAGGGACTAGTACTTGTCTATCTATTACTGATTTACATCATATTATAGTGGGATTCAAATCCTCATTAAAAAGATGAAAAAAGGGGCTCTGTGTCATAGAGTGATAAGCTTTGAATAGTGCTTGAATGGAATTCTGACTGACTTGTTGTCGCGGTTGTAGACAAATTTTTAACCCGTGCAGTTTTCGATGTCTGGAATTCATCAGTCAGTCCTGAATAGGAATATGAAACCAAAGTTAGTGATCCACTTTTAGCATTTTCAATAAAAGAAAAAAAAGACATTTTCCTTAGCTATAAAAAGTATGAAAATACTCCAAATTCAATAATAAAGATACTGATGATGTTCTTAAAAAGAAAAATAAACAAAAGAACAGAAAAAAGAACCCAAAAATGCACGTTTAAAACCTAGTTTTACTTTTTGTTCTTTTATCATTAATATTTTTTAACAATTTTCTTTTTTTTTCTTTTTGATTTGTTTGTTCCTTTTGATTTTTTCTCAAGTGAAAGGAGCTGTTGAATAGGAGTAAGCCGGGGAAAATTGTATTTTTTGACTTAATTTATTCCTACATTCAGCACTAATTTAGAGAAACTTGTCGGATTGGTCAAGCCTCTCACTGTTATGAGACCAATATTTACCTGTTATGGTGGACACCGTCACCCTCGCTGGTTTTTCCTCTGGCGGAGAATAAGAAAAAATCATTAATCGTTGTTTTAAAGGGAGGGCGAAGCAATGATAACAGTGCGATATCTTTGTATGGAAAAAAATATAAAAAAAAAATGCCAATACATAAATAAAAATATTATATATCAAAAGGAGTTAAGAAAATTCCATAGCAAGAAGTCACTATTTGCTCCCTATCAAGTTCCGAAGTGACTGGTATGTCTAACATTCACACTTTTTAAGCTGTCTTCCTCGGTGCAACCGAGAAGGACTGGGTCGTAATACGATTGACTTATATGTATTTTTTCTCTCAGTTTCGTGTAAAGTGAATTGAGGCTTTATTGTGTTACCTCTCCAATCTCTACATTCACATATGAACCCTGCGTCTTTGTTGGGTGTAGAAAAGCCGACCCTGTTGTAGAGCCCCTATCTCTTACGATAATCCTTGTACATTAGCGCGCCGTTATCTTTATGTCTCTCTTAAGTATCTTTAATGATAAATAATATGATATATGTATAATTGAAAAGAGAAGAACTGGGCTGTAATACAATTTCCCTATTCTTATTCACAGATTGTATGATCTGAATCGACGAAGGACTATTACCTCCTCCATATTTACATTCACATATGAATCCTGCTTTTGACCCGGTCATTTTGAGCGAACAACTCATATCATTATACCGGCCTTGGCCGGTGTAATCTTTATACATTTGGGCGCATTGCTCGAGATCCCCATCGTCGCTAGGTTGTCCCTTTGCCCAGGGCCACCCATTATTTTTAGACGCATTTACGGTGCTGTTATCGCTTAACCATCTCCATACTCCAGCTGCATCTTTACTCAAGCCTATGAAGTATTCTTCGGTTGGCATATTTTGGATGGTTTGTCTCAGGAAGTTCCATTCCTCGCGACTCTCAATCGAAACAAGGGCACATCCAGACAGTTCACAGACGTTTTTGCTTGTATACCAATTATAGCCGTCGCTCTGATTGAAAATGTACGTGGAACCATTGCAGCTCTTCAGGTCACCTGAATGTAGAATTCAACAAAGGCATACCTTAGCCGTCAATTATTGACCTTGTCAGCAAATATCCACATGGCAGAATGAAACTGTAGTAAGATTAATACTATTTTCAGAGCAAAATAGCATTCCAAATTATCTGGACCTTCAACTTAGGTGAACGTTTATTTCCCTGTAGTCGTATATAAATAATTATTTATTGGTAAGTATGCGTTTGGATCCATAACGGAAACAACTGTTATCATTATTGTTATTACTAGTAGTAGTAGTAGCAGCAGAAGTAGTGGTAGTAGTAGTAGTAGTAGTAGTAGTAGTAGTAGTAGTAATAGTATTTTCTTTTTTATTGGGTTGGAGGGGGTAGCAACAACCCCCGAACAAAAATGTTGAGACATTTTAATGCAATTTTTAATTTCCCACCATGCAGCAATCGTTCCCAAAAGGAACAAACTTGGCCCCCCTCCCCACCCCTGGTACAATGTTGTTGGGGCTTAACAGCTTAAGCATGCATTTCTTGTGTTGCCGCAAACAAGATTACAATANTAGTAGTAGTAGTAGTAGTAGTAGTAGTAGTAGTAGTAGTAATAGTAGTAGTAGTAGTAGTAGTAGTAGTAGTAGTAGTAATAGTATTTTCTTTTTTATTGGGTTGGAGGGGGTAGCAACAACCCCCGAACAAAAATGTTGAGACATTTTAATGCAATTTTTAATTTCCCACCATGCAGCAATCGTTCCCAAAAGGAACAAACTTGGCCCCCCTCCCCACCCCTGGTACAATGTTGTTGGGGCTTAACAGCTTAAGCATGCATTTCTTGTGTTGCCGCAAACAAGATTACAATAGGGGAGGGGGAAAGCAATCTTTGAATTTGCGACGGTAAGCATTTTTGTCAGGGTGAGTGCAAAAGATTGGAAGTTTTGTGATGTGTCTCAACAGGTTTTGTCTGAGGTTGTAGCTTCCTTTAAATGTTAGTTCCTCCATCTTTTAAGTTCCATTCCTTACTACTACCTGCCTTAAAGTATCTTTCTAGTAAATCTTTGGTCAATTTTGGTGCTGGATCCTAATCCCTGTTCTGAAGAACAAGTACATTTCCTATTGAGCTTCTATTTTATAAAACTTTATTCATAAACAGGCACACTTGAGTTATAAAGACTCCCAATTTCGAAATTTATAACCCAAACATTTCTAAGTTTTATTGGTTACTTTGTATCGTAGTTCATTGTGATATTAAAGGTGTGATGGTCACGAAGTTTCCCATTACAGTACCAAATTATCGTTTGTTTTAGGAAAATACAGTGCACCCGATTTTTTTCAATGCCCGCATTTTTTATCGACAGCTTTCAGGGGGATACAAGGACACACGAAACATGTAGCTATTGATTTAAACAATGTGCTTACCAGCAACACTCATTATGTATGTGGCTCCAATTAGCACAAGGAGAGTACAATCTGCCGCAAAACACGATTTTTCCATTCCAGCAAGCAAGTGTTTCCTACAATTTCCTCAATATTAAAATGAAATTGTTTGCAAATCGCGGTATGATAAGAGTATGAAGTACTTCAGCACCGCATTTGTAGACAGGTAATTTCGTCCAACTCGCGCAAAGAGGAGACTGTACCGTCAACACCAAACGTATGCAAGTGTAAGAAGCACGCATATAAGTGGTAGTTTTAGATCGAAACGGAGGAGAAGATTTCCTACTACGTTACGGTTCATGTTAGTAACTCGTGACATCATTCTCGTTTGCCATGATTCAGTCCGTCAAATGCTCAAACGTTTAGTTCAATATTCTATTTCAATTTCATAGCTTTTCAGCTTCCGATTATTCGTTCCTCAAAACTACAATCAAAAGGAAATTGGCAACAGCACGGTGTTTTTTATAACCACAAAACGATTGTTGGGTCTAGTTTCCTGATTTGATTCAGTTACCAAACAAAGATAGCATCATTTCGCAGTAAATATTCAAAATATAAATCCGAAGTAAAAAGTACTTATGTACAAATGTGCATACAGGGAAAATGTTTTTTTGTGGCTTTTTACTTAAAGTCTCCATCACTCTTTACAGTATTTATGGTTGACCCAAAAAATTCTTTACCTAGGAGAATAAGAGAACATTATTTTATATTCTCTTGGTTTCAGTAATTTTTCCATATCAAATGTAATTGAGCTTCAATTTTTCTTCTTTAGAAGAGAACGATTCTTCTAAATATTTTTCTTCTTTTTCCACAACTTCCTTAAGAGCTTTATCAGTATGAGCTTTGTTGTGTTTTAGGCTGAGCAGACTTCCGTTTGCAGTTTTATACGTGTAAACAGTCTTTTGTTAAACTGAAATGAAAGTTTCGTTCGAGCACGGGCTGATGATAAAAATGAGATTACTTTTTATGTGGAACCTTTAGTGACACTGATATTATTTCTGTTAAAATATTCCTTTTTTTAATGATTTCGGGAGTAAATTCTCGGGGACTAAATCAAACTTGGCAGTTAAACCGAACAATTTTGGATTTGCAAAATCCAAAATTGTTCGGATTTGGATTTGCAAAATCCAAAATCCAAAATTTGCAAAGTCCTTTAATCAAAGTTGTCGTTAATTGCTTAAAAAGCTTGATCGAGATGAACTACTCCCCGAGGAGCTGGGAACCCACCCGTTGCAATGAACTCGGTTTGAAAAATCTTTGTTGATGAACTCACATTATTGATATCCCCGCGCACTTTAATGCTCAATGCACGTGGGCATATCAATAATGTTGACAGCCATGATTTACATTATTGTATATTTAGATCTGAAGCGCTTGATACTACTATTATAACGCGATTCGTTAAAAAATTCGCCTTTAAAGATTGATCATTTGGAGGGATACAGTAAGAAGTTAGAATGGATAAATCGTGTTTCCGGTAAACTTTGCCATCCATGTACTATATGGAACCATATATGGAAATAGTCTTACAGGTGAGCATGTCACTTGATAGGCAGTCTCTCCACAGCCTCTCTAAAAGAGGTCCGCTTCATTTCGGCTCAAAAAATCGATTTCTTTCAAACTTTGCACATTAATCTGTCTAAAAGTAATCCAAATCACCTTAGTTTTTCGAAATATTAAATAATATTTCTGAGCGAAAATCGCTTCAGCGCTTAAAGGCCCGCCTTTGTCGCCTTAAAAGTAAATATGCAACTTTTAATCTCGGTTCAGTGCAAAATTCCAACTTCCTCCCAATGATGTTTTTTTTTTTTTATTCAGACTAACTAAAATAGGGTAGGAAAGTATGGAAACATAAAAATATGTCGTGGTTTCGGCGAGCTTCTGATACAGCCGGTCAATATAATTATATGCAAGCGCATTTTCGAAAATCCCACCCAAAAATTCACATAAAGTGACTCAGTTTTTTACGAAATTTAAGTCAACGACCAATGGTTGACGGCTTAATCGAGCACTTTAAAGTTTTTCTATGCTGAATGATACCATTAAACAGCATTTAGGAAAGAAAAATCCCCACATCCTTCTAGAGAAATACCGCCACTGAATGCTAAAACTCTTCGCTCTAAGTTCTAAGCCACCTATTTTTTTGTATATAACGTGGTAATGAGGAAGAAGAAAAGAAATCACTGACAGTTAGGATGCATTAGTCATGTAAATTCAAAATATTTCTCATCATCCGTTTAGAGAGTGTTCCTATTGATATTGGAAAATGTAACCTGTAATTTTGTGATAGCGTGCGCGACATAAACTAATTTATTTAAAGGACACATCTGCTGTGTTTCGGACCCAGAAGCTCCCATGAAATCGCCAAAAAATAGTATATTCACGAGAACATTATAAATAAACCACACGAATTGTTAATTCTAGTCAAGATATATACTTGGCGTTAAGGAATGGATGTTTTGAACGATTCGAACCCACCCGCATACTTCTTATACAGGGCACAGTCCAAATGTGTTCTTTACCTGGGTATTTTTGTTCTGAAGGGCTGTCTAACGCGCAAAATGAAGAAGCAAGTCCATTTTTCTTTGAAATATTACTCATGATGTCAGTGTGTTCTCACCTGTCGTTACAGGGCAACTGTTGCTCAATTTATTTTTGAAAGTTCTTTAGGCAAACCTTGGTTAATTTGTGGTAAATATTAATTGAGAAAAAAAATCTGCAGACAACCGGAGAGTAACACTTCTGCTGATTTCATTGAGGATGTTTCCATTACATTTGCATTTCAGATGTTTCTTGAGGAATAGAAACAAAACGAAACACAAAGCAGTGAAGGCGATAAGTACCAAATAAGGTAATAGTGAGTGTTAGTTATTTCCATTAGGCGACTGAGGTGTTCGCACTCACGCACGAGGCCAAGCACAGAAATATTAAAACAAAATTAAGCTATTGTAAGCCGAAGCCTGGTCTATTTTCATATCTTATTTTGAGGCACACAGGTGCTAGTTAAGGCTAAAAAGTGTGACGGGGTATTGTACTTGTTCTTCCGACCAGTGCTAAGGATCCACGACTAAAATTAGCGTATTATATACTTTAGATAAAAGCACTCTAATAGACATTTTGATAAAAAGAAAACAATTAATTCCGTTTTAGATCCACTTGCATAGCGACCAAAAAGCGTTGTTCGTATCTATACACATTTAAAAAGGGCTACAGGCCCACATACTTTTGGATGCTATTTTACTCTGAAAAAATAGCAGCCTTGGTTAGTTTCTGCCTCTCAACTTGCTACTAAGTTGTTTTGGCTGACAAGGTCGATAGCTAACACATAACGTATTTCTTTGTTGAATTCTACTTTCAGGTGACCTTAAGAACTGTAGTGGCTCCAGGTACATTTTCAGGAAGAACAATGGTAAGTGGTACAGTTGGTATAGAAGCAAGAAAATATGTGAAGAGTCTGGATATAACATTTTTTCTATATTGAGAGTCGCGAGGAATAGAACTTCCTGTGTTAAACCATCCAGACAATGACAACCGAAGAATACTTCATAGGCTTGAGGAAAGATACAACTGGAGAGTGGAGATGGTTATGTGATAACAGCACAGTGGATGCGTCCAATAAAGGAGAGTGGCCCTGGGCATTAGGACAACCTAACAACGGAAGACAAAGAGAACTGCGCGCTAATGTACAAGGATTATCGTAACGACTATGAGCGCTATGATAATTTCGACTGTTCTACACCCAACATGTATGCAGAATTCGTATGTGAATGTTAAGATTGGGAAGGTAGTAGACTCTCAATTCACATTTTATGAAGCTGAGAATAAGAAAGCATGTAGGTCAATCGTAGCAAGGCCCAGTCTTTTACGGTTGCACCGAGGAAGAAGTAAAAAAAAAACATAACATAGTGTGATTGATAGGTAACACGTCACTGTATCTTGAAATGGGCCAATAATGACTTTTTTTTATACAGCTTTCTGAATTCTTTTAATATACTGTTTTGTTCTTTATGTATTTGTATTTATTTACGTTTCTCAGTTTTTTTTTCACCATCATCAACATTATTTTTATTCTTTTTAGAGTATTTGTGCATTTTTTGCGATAAAAGCTCAACAACAAGTGAAAGCTTATCACCCTAAAACTCAGAGTCCCCCTTTATTCTTTTTAACTTTCTAAAAGAAGATGGGAAGTCCCACTGTAGCATAATGTAGTCAACAGGTAGAAAAGTCACATTGGATCCTAACTGTGAGCCAAGAAGCACCTATCGTAACAACTTATTGCTTTTTGTTTTTTGTTTTGTTGAGTTTTCTTGTGTCTATTTCTTTATGCATTTCTCCATACACCCGTAAAAAGATACGTTTTTACCGCACTGTTACTATTGCTTCCCTCAAAAAAAACGGATAGGCGATCATCACGGTTACACTAATTAGTAAACTTTCTTATTCCGCGCCAGAGGAAAAAAAAACAGCTAAGGTGAAGGCGTCCACCAGAACCGGTAATCGTTAATGTTATAACGGTGGGAAACTTGACTTATTCGACAAATATGATCCTGTGAATGAGTGCTGAATGTAGGAGTAAATCAAATAAATTGGTATGACTTCCGCCCCGTCTTGCCCTTGAAAACTATATATAGGAAAAGGAAAAACAAACCATCAAAAATAGAAACAAAAAATTTCAAACAATTTTTAAAATTCCTTGCATTTTGTTCCTCTTTTCTGTTCTGTTTTACTGATTTTACAATATTTGTATAATTTTTATGGGTGAGAACAGCGTGTAATTTTCGTGGAGAACGCTAATAGTGAATCACTTACTCGAGTTTATTTCATGTTCCCTTTTAGGACTAACTGACCAATCCTAGACATCGAAAACTGCTCGAGCCAAACATTCGCCAACAACTACGACGACTACTCATTCAGAGAAACATTCAGATAAACCATCATTGACCCTTGCATTTCTCACCAAAGGAAATAAAAAAAAAAAACAGCGAAAGTGATGGCTTCTGCCATAACAGGTAACCGTTGGCTTCACTAACATGTGGTGTGTGGCCTTCGACCGCGGTGCGTTTTGGGTAAACTGTCTTTTTAAGCCTCCTTATGGCCCCCACCCGAGTGAGATTTCAATAAATCCCGGCATCTATGATGATATCGGATAACAGCATCACTCTTTGTTAGTGCATTTGAAAGAGGTGAAAATAGAAACTTTCATTGGCCTTTTTAAAAGAAAAGCGGCTGCTGTAACCTTTCCTTGCTGGCTACACAAGGCTTTGACGCTAAGTATCCGGCGAAGTGCAGCTGGTCAATCC